AACATATTGTGGTAAAACGTGTGTTGAATCTGAAGTACCAACACATTAATTGTTCACGTTCAATTTTAAAGCTTCTGTTAACCTATTATTCACATATCACTTTTTTTTTAAAAAAGTGACGTCAAAGACAAAAAAGAGACCACCAATTTCACCCCCTAAAATATTTCTGAATAAGTAGTGAAGTATGACCTCTTTTTTGCTGTAATTTTTAAGTTTCGATTTCAATTGTGAGAAATTTCAATAGAGAAGGTCAGTGTCGTGGGTATGAATTTTACAAGGTATTATTCAATTTTTTTTGTCCTTATATTTTTGAGTTTTTTGTTTTTGATTTTTATATAATAATGGTGGATCGTTATCTTTAATTTACTTATAGTTACATGTGTAGTTTTCTTTATTCGCTCCATAACTCCTAATTTCAAGAGAAGTAAAAATCAATTTATCTTTTGTTTAATCGATTTGCAAGAATGAATTAGTTTTGGTTGTGGTAATCGATTTTGAAATTTATCGAAAAAGAAGAATCCCTAGGTCAAAAATAAGCTTCTAAAGGACGCATGTTGTTTCATTTTGCAAATTTATAGACAAGCACAAGAATGGAATTTGGAGATGAATTGGACAATTACAAACGACAAAAACAAGAGTTTACATGCTGAAGTTTTTAGAATGACATTATCTACTCTATTCTATATTGCAAAAAAGGAAACAAAGGATCTTCTAAACAAATAATAGAAGGCCATAAGTCCTCTTTAGATTGTTAATTTAGTTAGAGGAGTTGGTAAAATCAATATTGTCTAGAATGTTACTAGGCATTTGACCATGTTCATTGTGAAACTTAAAGAAAGTATTTTTGGTTTTAAAGTGAAAAATAATATATGAAAAATTGGAGTTATTTTTGACTACTTGTGAATAGTTTGAAATATATATACAATTTTACATACAAATTGACCCATCAAATATCAGTTATACAAATACTGAAGTGATCTTAGGTGTTGAGGAGCAAGACTGCAGATTCATATAGACAACAACATCATTCAACATGCTCATATTAATTCAACATTCTTATATCATTTACAATAGCAATTAGCATGCTTTAGTCTTGGAGATTAACAATAAGCTAGATTAACATAAAATACAAGACTATTTTACGCATGAAATACACAATAATAATGTAACTATTGGGCCAGCAAAATAATCTAGTTGTAATAAATACAAAATCTAAATATATATACACATCAACACACGTTCAAAATACAAATAAATTAGTTAAAGAATTAATACACAATTATTTATATTTAACTACGAATTTACAATTAGAATAGACGTACACCTAATGGTCTTGCTTGATTATTTATGAAATTTATCCATGAATTCTTTTTTATTTGAATTCCACAAAAAAAATAGGCACCATGCTAACTTAAATAGGTGTATAGGGATTCGATAAATTATTACCAATATTATCAACCTTATTAATCAGTTATCAATTCAAGTGGATACTTAATAAGATTGTTAGTTAATTCATAATCATGAAATATTTCTCATTGATTTTATTAACCTAAGGGTTTCTAATTTTTTTTGCGTCTAGGTTGAAATGAAGATGATCTGATATGATTTATGAGTAATTTATCAAGATATATAACTAGGCTGAATATATTATAAAAATAAACATGTCTGATATGACTTGTATGACACGTACTTCTATGTTTGTAATTTTGAAGTCATAACAATTAAATATGTTATGTGAATAATCCACATGAATATAGCAAGAGTGATATTGATTCGGCAATGAACAAAAATCATATCTCTTTAAGGCAAAATTATCATTTGTCTCTTATAAGTTTATAATTATAGAAATTCCTCAAACTGATACAATAATATAAGCGCTGATACATTGATCTGATGCATGATAGTCATTAATCTTTAAGTAAGATACATTATATTATATACATGATACACTAATATGATGTATATTTTATATATGATACACTAATCTGATGCGCGAGATACATTAATTTGATGCACTGATATATTAATCTGATACGTGAAAATGAGAAATTTTGGAGATTTGTAAAATTAATAGGGGATAATGGTAAAAAATTAAAGATGAAATTTTTGTCATTTTTCCATATTGATTTGTCATAATTTGAGTGTCACAATATTAAAATGTATTTTTTCCCCTTTAATTTGTTTGTAGCCTTGAAATCATGATAATTTAATATGATTTACGAATAATCTAATTGGACAATTAGATTGAATATAAATGAAGTTAATATCGATTTAATAAGAATTAGATGACACATGGTAGGATTGTTGTACCATTTCTATTGTTCAAACTTGAGGGTATTTTAATTTCAAGTTAAAAATGTCATTTTCACACCAATATCAAAACTAGGGACAATATTTAAATAATAGCCCAAAAATATCCTTTTTGTGAAAATCTTCCATTTTATGAAAATTGACATGTTTTACACTTGCCAAATTCTTCAATTCTTCATCTTACCCCATGACCTCCTCCACTTATATATCTCTTCTGATTTCACATTATCCAAATCCTAAAATGAGAAGAAACCAAAGAACTCCCTTGTGACAACAAGGAATATTAGTTGTAGGATTTAAGACCACTAAAAATATATTTGGCTTTATCAGCATTATCCAAATCCTAAGGAGGAAACTGAAGTACTCTTTGGTGTCAACAAGGGCTATATTTGTTAATTGTTACTAATGTTTTGATAACCAATTCATCCGTTTGGTTTTGTTTGTCCTTTTTTCCCTTTTAATTTGTCTAATAAATTTTTCTTTATAACTTTTTAATTTCATTTTTTTCAAATAATATGTCTAATACTATATAAGATAAAAAAAAATTCTTTATTTTCTTAAGCTCCGTACAAAGTTAAAATTAAATAAATAAATTGAAAAAAAATATTTCCTTACTCATTTTATAAATTCTTGCAACAAAAACTTGGAAATAAGTATGAAGTTAGTTATGAAAGTTTTTAAAAGAGATCTTTAAAAAAAAGTTCCTCTTACTTTTTATATAGTTTCTCAAAATTAATTAAACAAAATACAATAGTTTCAAAAACACACTTTGAAATATACTTTTTTAAAAATAATTTTTAATAATTATACGAATAAATAATTTTAGTTGTTGCTCAGTAAGAGAGGCGCAATTTCAGATTCCAAAAAAATAAGTAAACACATTTTATCGAGTCAAATATGAATAAATCGAATCAGATATAAATAAATAGATAAAATTAACACTACCATATCAAAATTAGTGTGTGGATAGTGTTACACTATTTATCACACCAATTCACTTTTTAAATATTATAATATTATTTCATTACATGAACTTTTAATTAAACATTATATAAATTGTACTTTCTTTTTTCCTATTTAGTTGTCCACTTTAGAAATGACACACATATGAAGGCACCAATTATTATCATAGGTTAGTTATAATTTTATCGTTAACTTAAAGACTATGCAACTCCCCACTTCTAATAAATATATTTTATGATTCCAAAAAGCATGCATTACAACTTAGTAGTACTAGAAATTTTTTAGAATTAAATAAGAGCATATTACGAAAAAAATTGTTGTCCTTTCTTAATTTGTTAAAATGGACAAGTAAATAAGAACAAATATAAAAGGAAATATGGACAAGTAAATAGGGACAGAGTGAGTATATTTTAATTAAATATCTTCTGCATTTAATTATTTTTATGTAATATTTTTATAATATTTATTTTAGATATATAATCTATTTTTTATAAATTGATATTTCTATATGACTTTTAAAAAAAATTAAATTTATGTTAATTCACTATAAATTATATAGACTACAATTAACCTTTACAAAAATTAAAAATGCAAACATATAAATTTTTAAATAAATAATACAATATACTTAAACATAACCGAAAATAATAAACATTCAACAAAATAGTAATTGACATAAATCAAAATTGAAGTATAAAATACATAGTAATTTTAAAAAGTACAACAAAACATAATAACTTAATAAAATTACAATAATAACTTGATAATATGAGACATTCTTTCCGGATTCATCAATACTATTAAAATATGAATTGTGTGGGTTATAGAAAAATTCACAAACATTTGGATTAACAATATCATCCACATTTATTAATATAATTTTATTTTCTTCTTTAAATTCTTTAAATTTCAAAGCTCTATGTTTCATTTTAAACTATGTAATGCATTAATAAAGCATTTACAGAAGTACCATCTTGAAAGTTGAATATTTATTAGAATTTTACAATTATTTATTTAATTATATTTCATTAATGATTTCACTTTTATTTGTATTATCCATTATTATGTATGTATAATATAATTTATATTATTTAAAAATTATGGTACACAATAATTTTATATTAAACGATTGCAAAAGATAATAATAGAATTATATATGGTAAATGTTTTAGAAAGAATTTATTTTATGTAATAAGAAATAATAATATAATAATGAACAGAGAAAAAAGATTTTTTTTTGACATAAAATTTGGTACAGTAAATTACATCAAATTCGATATTAACATTAAAATTGATGTTTGAGTTGGAGATGCCATTAACCAAATCTTTGACTTATACGAAGGATTTTCATTAAGTACATACACACAACTTAATTCTTTTTATACCATATAATCCTCCAATAAAGCGGATTTAGATGAACCTCTTGTGACCATATAGCTCCACCCCTGCTCAATTGATTGGTTACTGAACTCGGATCTTACGGGTAACCAAATAGCTCTAAAACAATTAAAAAATAAAAAATAAAATCCGGGTGAAAAATAAAGAATCTAAGGAAAAGAGTATCTCTACGTGGCATAACCAGCTTCTAACATTTACTCTTTTTTTTTCGCGGCAGTTTAATCAGATCACCGATTTATTCACATTATAACATTTATGTGGAGGAAATTTCACACTGTCACTATCAATCATGACTTGGCTTCCCTTCCCAAACTTCATCTTTTTTTTTCTTCATTTGATTATTAATTTCAAAAACACAAAATTCTTACAATTCAATTCATCACTCTGCAAAACTAAAAAAAATAAAATAAAAATAAAATCAAATGAGTGCTGCAACTGCAACATTCACTCCTCATGTTGCATTTAGCAATAATAATCCAATATGGAGAAAACCCAGAAGTTGTACTACAAACTGCAAATACTCTACCGCTTCTTTTGTTACAAGAGCAACTTCGTCTTCGAATTCGGAAATTGATAATGAGAAGAAGAATAAGAGAAAGAAAAAGAAGGTAGTGATTGATAATAAGGAACAAAAAGTACAGGAAACAGTGGAGGAGAAAGAGCAGGAGCAGGTGCAAGAGTTGCAATCTTCATCAGTTTCTGTTATAAAAAGATTGGATGATGTGAATCCTGTGGGACTAGGAAGGCGTTCACGTCAAGTGTTTGATGAAGTGTGGCGAAAGTTTTCAGGATTAGGGCAAATTTCGAGAACAATTCGTTCTGATGATGAGAGTACTTTGCTTATTAGAGAAGGTGGACCCATGTGTGAATTTGCTATACCTGGTGCTCAGAATACTACTGTGCTTGTTGTTGGTGCTACTAGCCGTGTTGGTAGAATTGTTGTCCGCAAACTTATGCTTAGGGGTTACACTGTCAAGGTCCATTTCTCGATCACTTTTTGCTTTTTGCTATAATTTTATTTCCGTTTTCTTTAGAAATTGCATATATTGTGGATTCTGGATTATACACATTCAAACTCGGCAAAGTGCACATTTAGACACTTCAATTTATGTCCACATTATGTTAGTTGAACATTTTTAAACTTACAAAATGATAATCTGAACACCTCCAAAATATGTCATGTGGTGTCCATGAGTCATAGTGAGGAGGAGTTGGAGTGTTTAGTTGCGATTTGAGGTGTCTGGATGTGCACTTTATAAGTTAGAATGCTTACTTGCTTACTGAGGCCAAGTTTGAGTATCCCTTTATGTAGCAAGCTAAAACATGATGAGTGAGCATGTATATCGTTGCCCCCAACATGTTTGAGAATGTTGTGTAGTTCTGTTATTGTTGTTGTGGTTGCAATTTTTGTGCGTATAGAAAGTTTAATTATAAAGTTTGAGAACGTTGTGTAGTTCTGTTATTGTAGTTGTGGTTGCAGTTACTATAGAAAGTTTCATTAAGAGGTTTCTAATTGAGAGTTGAGACACTTGCATTTTGCCCAGTATTTGACTGGAACTTTTTAAATTTTGAAAGAGATTGTATGATACTGTAGGGTTATGTGTGAGATCTAGAGAATATCCAGTTTCAAAGAATATTGTAATAGTTAATGAAACGGGCCAAACAGATTGGAAAGAATATAGATAATTCATATAGCTGAATCTGACTAACTTGGGATTAAGATGTAGTTGCTTTTGTGCATAAGGAATCAATGGCTTTTGAATCCTAAATCCACCTCTGAGTGGTCCTTTTCCCGTTACCTAAATATTTTCTTTTTCTTTCTTTGGATTTACTTAATATTTAACTGACATGCTAGTCATCACTTACACTTTGTTTGACATTCCCGCACAGGCTCTAGTAAGGAAAGCTGAACCGGAAGTGGTTGACATGCTACCAAGGTCTGTGGAGCTAGTGACAGGCGATGTTGGTGATCCTTCCAGTCTTAAAAATGCAGTGCAGGGTTGCAACAAAATCATCTATTGTGCCACTGCTCGGTCTTCAATCACTGGAGATCTCATCAGAGTTGATCATCAAGGGGTTTACAATCTCACCAAAGCCTTGCAGGTATTTGTTTTCTTTCACTATCTTGTTTTGGTACATTAGTGGCAAAGTTACACCAATTAGTGGGAACGGAAAAGGAATAAAGAAACAGAAAGCCCAAGGATAGGGTTTGATATCTGACAGTAGTTAGGATGACAAAATCTTCCTCTCAAAATGCTACATAATATGCGTACAAATACTGCTAGAACTAGTCAAGCAGCAGTTCGTTAACATAGTTTCTTGTCATTAGATGCAATTTTTTTTGTATTGCAATATATATTTCGATCCGGTGGATTTGTAAGATGCTTCCAAATAAGATATTTGTCCTTTAATTTGACAAAATATAGACAAGAAACTAGTATTGGAGTATCAACATGATATTAGAAAAGGGCAACTCATCATACACTATAGTTGATTTCACACATCTTAACTAAAGTATATTTCTGGTAATATTAATATCCATATTGAATTTATCAAATCTAATAAAGAACTTGGTGCTAAATTATGTATTACAATTTTTAACTTTCAGCAAAAAGAAAAACATTTGTATTATGACAAGAATTTAAATTTTAGATAACGTCTCTTCTTTGATAGAGATGATAATTGTCTGTTTCTTAGTTAACTGGGCCATTAGCAAAAACATTTTTCAGAAATGCTCTAAATTCCTGCATTTAAGAAAACATATAGACTACAATCTCAGGAACTCTTGTCTGTGCATTTCCTAATACTGTCCCTTGTTGAGATGATCAGTGTGTAATCTCTGTATGCATTCTGTTCAAAACATGTAGGACTACAACAATAAACTAGCACAGCAACGAGCTGGAAAGAGTAGCAAAAGCAAGCTTTTAATTGCAAAATTCAAGTCTGAAGATTCATTGAACGGGTGGGAAGTCCGTCAAGGGACATATTTCCAGGATGTGGTTGTTTCTAAGTATGATGGAGGAATGGATGCCAAGTTTGAGTTCACTGAAATCGGAGATGCTGTTTTTTCAGGTAACCATGGAAGATGATCCCAGGTCTTGAAAACATGTATTCGTTGTTTGTAAACGTATTTATATGTTCAGGGACTTGTAGTCCCACTTATGGTGCTAAGTAAGACAAGTCTGAGGATAGTTTTGTGAAATACTGAATTTCAAAGATGCAATATTTTGATCCCTGTTTCTAAGTGTTCTTTCTTTTGGCTCATGTAAGGGTATGTCTTCACAAGAGGAGGATATGTTGACTTGTCACGAAAACTCTCACTCCCTTTGGGTTACACTCTTGACAGGTATTTACTGTAAATTTCAATTTTTCCTTTTATTCTTTTCTCATACATGATGCTATTTTTCCAGTTGTTGATTTATCCTCACTCCATATACTTGTGTCACTATTGAATTTTGTATACTTAGGTATGAGGGTCTAGTATTCTCTGTTGGTGGAAATGGAAGATCTTATGTTGTAATTCTTGAAGCTGGTCCTTCAGCAGATACAACACAAAGCAAATTGTATTTTTCCAGAATTAGCACAAAAGCAGGATTTTGCAGGGTGAGTTTAGATTACAACGTGAAGAAAATTATTGATCTAGTAATGCCTTCATTCTAAATACTACTAGATACTTTATATTTTTATTTAATGTCTTTGCATATGCACTTGTTTTCACAGGTGAGAGTTCCATTTTCTTCATTTCGGCCGGTGAAGCCAGACGATCCCCCATTGGATCCATTCCTTGTGCATACCTTGACCATACGCTTTGAGCCCAGAAGACAGGTCTTCCCTCGACCAAAGCATTGCCTTCCTCATTGTTGCCATTTGACTTCTTTAAAACTTTTACACTATTTCTTCTACTGTTATACTTGACTTACCATATTTTTTGGAACGCCAAAAGTTGATTTGTATATAAATCAATTGCTTATACACTTCATCCAGTCCACATTATTTAAGTACAGATTCAGGAACAAAATCTTGAAATGTGAGTGGACCAGGCTTGACGAATACACACGGATAATTGAGGAGTCATTTTCTTAATTATTTTTTGCATATCTGGGTAACATACTATTTTTATTGCTAGTGTTTGCACTTCATATTTCCTCTTTTTTCTCCTATTTATACGAACTAAAAATATTACCTTACAACTCAACTACTTCATTTCCACTATATATTGGCAAAGAATGGACCATCTGTTGGCAGATTGTTTCTTCCTGCTTTCAATCCCCCACCCCAATCTCCACCTGCCACAAAGTAAACAAACTATTTTCTTTTTTGAAGTATTTGACCAATTATGCTACGAAAGAAGAGCTATTTCCACTAGAAGGTCCAAAACTCATAACAAAATTAGTAGTCCTACCTGCAAAAGCCCTGTCATAGGATAGATGACATGAATCCTTGAAACATTTCAAAGTAGAATACTACTGTTTTTCTGTGCTAGTTGCTGATACTTGACATGGTCATTTGCTAATTGCTACAGAGGCCAATTGAAGGAACTACAGGGACGAACCAAGATCTGAGAAGCTTTCAGCTAATTATGGAATATATTAAGGCTTTGCCTGTAAGTTCAATTGACTGGTTGTGCAACAGCATTATGTGAGACCTTTGTTTCTTCAAGTTTTTGCTTGTGGTCTGCATATAATAGTCATAATCTATGAGAAGTCAGGAATTTGACTGTTAGTTTTAGAATCTTCAAGATAATTTATAGTCTAGAGTGTTTCTGGTAGAAATCCTTTTTACTTTCAGATGTATTATATATATATATATATATATTAACATCTGTTGGCCGCAAAAGTTTGGAGTTCTGACAATTTGGTTCAACCTGTAAAATGTGCTAGTTCTTTGATAAAATTAAATGCAAGTAATTTTATCCAAGAATGTCCTAAATTGGTTGTGCGAATACTCGTTATCTCCTTATATATTTTTGATCAATCCTCAATTAATGGGCTAGATTTCGGGGTTGAATTAGGCCCAATGTTCATTCTTCTCAACTTAAGGTCCTGCTGAACCATCGCATACGGTTGATGCAAAAGATAACAAAAGACATAGGTAGATTGATAGAGTGAGCAAGAAAGGAAGAGTTCAATTCCTGCAACCGTCCTTCACATGAAAATTGATTACTTTTTCTTTATAGCTTATACATGTTTCATAATGTGCTGTGTTTCTGAGACTAGTGTCATTGTTAAGTCCTAAAGAAGATGACTCACACCTAGTGGAATCTAATATGTGATTGGAATATAAAGTCAGATTTCTTGTTCATATGGTTATATTTATTGTTCATATGGGGTGCTTTTTGTTTTTCCTCCATACCAAGGTGCTTTTAGTTTTTCCTCCATACCAAACACACCCTAAGAGGAAATATAATGTGCAGTTCTACTCTTTTTCTATTTGAATCTTAAGACCACAACTGTGCCAAATCAATGAACATCAAACAAAACCTATTCACTCCAATTCAAACTGATAGACAAATCAGTGTTTTTCTTATGACTGATTTCATTAGATAGGCAGATTGTGATAGGTTGTAAATCAGCATGGTTTTAGGCGTTTGTGTATTGAAACACTGACTGCAAATAGGTGACTTTTGGTCGAATGCAATTTATAGATCTCTGTGGTGTTCAGAAACAAGTCAAAACTTATACAAAAAAAAGTCGTGTTTATGGTCAATGCTATTACTTCTTTTCATCAGTCATCTTTAAAATGATGATTTGGTTGAAAATAGTTTGATAAAAGAACTATGTTGGACAATATACTTATTGCCAGATTATTGTAAATTTTGCAGACTGGACAAGAAACTGACTTTGTCTTGGTATCATGTACGGGGTCAGGAATAGAGCCTACCAGACGGGAGCAAGTTTTGCGAGCAAAGAGGGTTAGGTCTTCTTCAGACTCTTCCTTTACGTATTCTTCTTGGATTAAAACTGAATCCCTAATTATTTTAATTTTTGTAGGCTGGTGAAGATTCATTAAGAAGGTCCGGCCTTGGATACACAATAATTCGCCCAGGACCCTTGATGGTAAATATGTTTTCCATTGCTCATATGTTGGTCTTTCAGCTGGAAATATTGAGTATAGTTAAGTTCTGGTTAACTTTAGGACGGTCGAACAATAAGTCCTATTCGAGTCAGCTTTTGCTTTCCTTAGAAATTAGGTATTCCTATAGGCAATTATAATTGTAAATCAGCATGCTTTGTGATAGCTTGTATTTGGACGTTGAGTGGGAGAGCAAGAAGTGCTTTCCTTGGTACCATATGTTGGCGGTAAGGACTTAAGTGGATTTTTAAGAAGGGAACCTTTCAAGTGGTTAAATTTAGTCAGAGTAGGACGGAATTGGTTATCGGCAGTGGTGGCACAGATGTATTTCTATGGAAGTTCTGCTTAGCAGCTGCAATAATGTGGTTTTCCATTAATCAAAATCCTTAAGGAAGCATGATTTAGCTGCTGTACTACACACTGATTCACATATTGTTGGAAATTATACCACCCAAAATATTAGATTTTAGCAAAATCTGAAGATTTTCTAATGATTACTTTCTGCAGGAAGAACCAGGTGGGCAACGTGCGCTCATATTTGATCAAGGAAATCGTATCTCTCAGGTAAGAGATCTACTGTACTCATGAGAGTATTGCTGCACCTCCAGATGAGCTCACCTTCATAACCGTAAATGCAGGGAATCAGTTGTGCTGATGTGGCTGACATTTGTGTGAAGGCATTGCACGATTCAACAGCCAGAAACAAGAGCTTTGATGTGAGTAATACTCTACTTTCTTTTGATGGCAAAGTTTGACAAATTAACTAATTGACCCTATTCTCTGATTAGGTATGTTATGAATATGTCGCTGAGCCTGGGAAGGAGTTGTACGAGTTGGTAAGTCCATTAGTTAACAAATTTTATCAGTTGAATGATCAAAGACGACTTACTGTACAGCCATTTACTTCACTTTCTGGATGAATTGGTTGTCAGCAATAGTAGCTAAATTTTACTTCATTGCTGTTTCTCATTCAGTTTCTTATATGAATTGCAGGTTGCACATTTGCCTGACAAAGCAAACAACTATTTGACACCAGCACTCTCAGTACTGGAGAAAAACACATGATCATTCTCTCAGTTTGTTCGAGTTACAATCTTGATTCAATCTCTAACAGAAGGTATTGGTGTGAGACTTACCAAGATCTTTTTGACTAAGAGGAATACTTTCTGTCTGTATTTGTTCTCAAATATATGTGTACATATATATATATATATATGGCAATAGCATTTTGTTTAAAAAAATCTACTGAAGGTTATGTATATATTAAAAGCAAGCACATCCCTAAAGCTATTTTGTTTAAGATGACTGGAGAAAACTCATTAGTCATTACCAAGTGTGTTTACAATCCAACTGTTTTGTTCTCTTAAAAAATGTGATACTCCAATTTCTGGGAATGTTGGTGTTAAACAGCTAAAGAAAAATACAGAGAACAGAATAAGAGTTTTTATTAAGCAGAAAGAAGAGATGTTTAAATAGAAGGAAATCTAACAGTAAGTAAATAAATGCACTAACTCAACTTGTGAATCTTTCTAATAACTAGGAACTAAGTCTACCAACAACTACATGCCTAGACTGATAGTAACCAAAAGTAAAGAATCAACAAAACAGAACAAAACAAGTAGATTTATCGAAATAGTTTGTGCAAGTATCTTAAACACAAAATACAGATAAAGTTGTTCGTATGGAGAGGACAAGACTCCGCAAAATAGATAGTGTTGATTCTTAATTACATAATACTAATACCTAATCCTGATTTTAAGTGAGGTGCACCAGTACTAGAACCTCAATTAAATTCAAATTATCGAATGAACCCTCAGGATATGACTGGAATCCAGTACACACAAACCACATATCGATTTTGACTAACATCGACATCTTAAACTCAATGAAACCATCGGAACACGAATCCGATCTCCTTGGCCCAAAATTTGTGAAAGTCACAAGAGACAAACACAACGTGTAAAAGGCTAAATCAAGCTCGAGACTTCTAAAAATTCAAGAAAAATCTCACTTAGGCCTAAAAATATCCCTTGAATATAATGAAACTTTCGAAATTCCAATCCTAGCATGCAAACCACGAGTGTTGACCAAAGTTAATTCAAAGGCTAAAATTTCACAAAGTTCCAACTTAGGACAAATCCTCAAAAAGATTCCAAATCTGAAACTGAAAACTTTCTTAGATCAATTTCTACATACCGAAATCGATGGAAATGAAAAAATTTGTTCCAACACTCGAGACTCCAAAAGACATCGAAAATCATTTTAATCACTTTAGACTTTTGAAATGAAAAATTTACATAAATCACAACTCTTAACTCAATGTTCAAAACCAATATCTAAATCGAACATAAAAGACTCAGGATCAATATCAAGTGGGGTAAAATTATAATTTTACAAAAAAATAATAAAAATGACCTTCCAGGTCATTACAATTAATGTGTATCCTAAGAGCTACTTAACCATTAGAATTTGTCATGTACGAATACACTGTGCTAGTGAGTCTCAAATGGAGGAAAAACGGATATTATAGGTGTACGAGAACCCTTCTTTTAATTTTGTATGTTTAGATAGAATGACATGACTACTTTTGTGAAAGTTTTCTTTGTGCTTCCATGGCCAAAAAATCCCTTCTCACGTTCTCATGATTGCCATTTCATATTTCAATATTCCTTGTTTGAAATGTGTTATTACAGTTTAGTTTACATAATTCCATTTGATGACTCCTCTGGTAGGAGATGTTGGAATATGCACAACGAAAGCATATTAGGATATTTTATGTTAATATGAATAATAGATAATCAATATTGTTATACTGAAATTTAATTTGATAAATAGCTCTTAAAGCGTGAACAGATACCTTCAAGCGAATCCTCAGGTTAGACAGACCTTCAAGTTGAATCTACAAGATAACTATGATCTTCTACAGTGATTCCAAGTCACATCCAAACTCTCTCAATACTTGGGGTGGGCAAGTATCGAATATAAAACTAACTTATCTTCTCTATTTTCTAGGTTAAGAGAATTTCTATTTATAGAAATTTCTTCCAAATCTGAAAAAAGCTAGAAAACCTATTATTCTTCCTTTTTCCATAGAAATATGATTTTGACTTCTAGTTAAATATAGGCACTGTAGGGACCACAAAATTAATTACTGAGGCTTACTATTATGAAAATAATTCCAAATAATAAATTTGAATTATTCTTATCATAATAAATTACAAATCATTTACTAGAAATTCGAATTGCACTCCTCTATTTATATTTCGTAATTCCCATTAAATACTTATGTAATTCTCCATGTTAAGATTTCAGATACTAATCAATAAACTAAAAACTGGCGAATTTAACTTAAAAATTAATTTCCTTTAGAGCACTACTTAACTTATTTCATGTGTCAGATTGATAAATTCACTTGCAAAGTTTGACACGGTGAAAACTTTTAAGTTTCTCAAAAAGGCATATGAATCAATTTCTATAACGAAACATGAATTTCATCAACTGACTTATTATTGCACCACTATATACCAAGCATATTAACCCATCTCAGAATCTCACCTTTTAATAAATCAAAATGATAATTAATACATACAGATCTCTATCAAAATTAAGAATATAAGTATATTTAATAGTTTAAAGAATATGTTTTTGTCAGTCAATCTAAACAACTATCTCTACTCGTTCTTGTCCAATACATACAAAATGTACTAGCACAAGAAGTTGGAACTATACTGTTCCCATTATCATGATAAATTACATAAATCTTGTGCTACAATCGTACCCGATGATATGTCCAATTTCCATCCTTGATTGTGAACAAAAAAACTTTATACTTGAACCGATGATTTAATCCTCTGTGTAAAGCTAAAACTCTACACACTAAATCATCTACTATATAAGTTTGTTAATCTTTGTTTTGACCCTCATCTCTCTTTGTAAATCGTGCACCTCTACTCAAGCGAAAAGCCTAAGTACATGGTGACTACTATACAGGAAACAAGAAAAGATAAGGGGTATGAAAGGAGATGTATATTGGGAAAAGAGACAAAAATAAGATGGTGATCCTGACAAAAAAAAATAAAAAGGTAGAAGAATGAAAATCTTAATAAAAGTTTGAAATGAAAAACAAAAGCAAGTCAAAAGTCACACCAAAGTTTTGATGAAAAATGAGGAGAAAAGAAAATTAAGGAGAAACCCAAATATTTTGTAGAAGAAGAAAATATCCAATGTAATGTCAAAGAGGGCAAGAAAGTCATTTAAAACCCAAAGACACCACACCTGACCCTTAACCTACGTTACAAGCTAAGAAAAATCCTATAGCAATCCTAATCTAAGGGTTTGAGAGTCAAAGTGTAGAAAATGAGGGCAAGTTTATGGTATTGTGCATGTATTGTATTGAATTCAATTGGAAAATGAGTGTATATTGAGTATAAGAAATTGAACTATATATCAAAATTTGTGTGAATACAAGGATTTTTCGCGGTAAGAGAACATTTTACATTGTTAAAAGTTGGTATGTTGGTGATTATTTTCTATGTATGTAAATCTATTTATTTCTATATCTATATATGAATTGATCTACTCGTGATGACTTGTTGAAAGCAAAAATTATAGTGTGTTAAAAATGAAAATGGAGGATAGATGAATGATTGTTGGAGTTCTTGGTTACTGTTTTCATCGTGTCGTTTTGTGTTAGTAGAGGAACTCAAGGATAAGCAACAATTTTAAGTTGAGGGCGTTGATGTATAGCAAATTGATGGTACATGTAATGCTTTAAACTTGGAGTTTTTCATGTGGCTCAAGTATTTGTTAGTAGATTTGATGATGTTTTACTTGAATTTTGCAGGAAAAAAAGTGTTTGACAAGTTGGGATGGGAGAAGGGTGAAACATCAGTTTCGGAGTTTTGACGACTCAACCTACGAACCATAAGGAATGAGTTGTAGACTGAAGCTCTGGAATTTGGAGCTAAGTATTAAACGATAAGACCAGACTATGAGCTGTAGGAACTTCTATGAATCGTAGGTATGATTCATAGGAAAGATAGAGATTTTGAGCTCTAGTACTTGAACTACGGAAGAGCACAGGTCATGCAATGTTCTACGGTTCATAAAACAAACCTGTAGAAAAGTCCAGAAGTTAGAAGTAAAGGTGTTGTCTGACGGAAGGTCTCTCTGAACCATAGAAATGTTACTATTTATAAGACCAAATCATTTGAAGTGACTGTCGAAGCCAAATTTTCCCATGTTTCCTTTTTTGACTTTGTTTGGGATTAAATGTATATAAATAGTCATTTTATTCTCTTTTGTTTTACAGTTAGACAATTTGATATTTAGTTTTTGTCTTTGAGAATTATTTTAGTGAAAATTTTATACATTTAATTCTTGAGAATTATTTTAGTGAACATTTATAAATTTAATTCTTGAATCAACTGTTTTATACAATCTTTTGTTCATTAATTAAAGATTTTAGATTTTATCTACTCTTATTGTCAGTTCAAGATTTGTTTTCACAAACTTACTGTAAATTCCGATTACTCAAACATGAGTACCTAAATCTACAACTAGGTTAATGGGAATTATGATGAATTAAATGTAGACCTAATAATTAGTCATTCTGGAATAATATTTATGCATTAGTGTTAATCTCTTCGCTCTAATTGCATTTTAACGGTGCACAACATTATAACCTGCCTTATCCTACTTTTTCGACCAAGGAACTAACAAATAAGAAAAGAGATTAAACAATGCATATTGAGTGAGTTAATGTGTTATTTAATAGCTTGAACCATTTCTGTGAAGGCTAATCTGGTTCAAGCGTAAGGGTTAGTAAACACACACCCATAGACTAATCAAGTTGCTTGGTGAAATTCACTATTTGGACGACCGATCACTTAGGGGATACATAAATTACCAACTTTGCATTTGAAAAGCTAGATAGGATTACTACTATAAGTTTTAGTGCTTTAAAGACTTGTGGGAAACATATACACCCTAATTTCATCTTCTATTGACTTAACAAAACATTCAATCATGTTTACTTGGTTACTTAAGTTAATCAATATATATATTTTTTACAAAACCCCTTTTTTACGAAAATAATCTTACTAAAAGTACAATCTATTGTCAATTTGCCTAAGTCTAGATCTCATTCCTCGTGTTATTTGACTAGCGACCGCTTATACTTATTTAGGGAGGTTTAATTTTGGTGTTTCAATTTATTCTGTACTCACTCCTTCTTCTACTCTTGTGTAGCTACGAGTTTGAATCCGCGTGATTATATTTCTTCTCTACTTCGTCTGAGGCTTTTCTGTGAATACTCAAGAGGTAGTTGC